CCTGGGCAAGAAAATAGAAGACAATGTGCAGTTGTCTGCAGGGGAGCAAGAGAGAGGGCACTGAGAAGCTCGGGGTTCTCATCGTCAGCCAAGCACACAGGGCTCTGCTGAGACACTGGCCCCAGTCCAAAGGGTTGAGCCTCGAGAGCCACAGAGAAGCATTCACTCACTTCAGGAAACCAATCATCTTCTTGGCATACTAATGCCAAAAGCCATGGCCGGGCAGTGCAACCCCTGCACCTCATTCCATAGCTGTCATCACCACTGTCCCCAGCACCTGCATTACAATGCTGCCAACATCAAGGAGATATTGGCAGGAAATATCAAGTGTCACATCGTCACTCCCGGTGCTGGACGACATGAGCTGAGGGTGCGCAGCACCTTCCAACACAGGCTCCACAGGTCCAAGCCCTGGGAGAGCCTGTACGCCCACCAGCTGCAGGGACCATACTTCCACAACTCTGACTTCAGGGACTGTTTATCCTCTCACTAGCTGACCCAGTTTAATCTGACAGACTGACTGAATCTCAGAATCAAACATGCTCCCATGTTCTCTGCATCTAGCAGGTAGGAAGGAAAGTTTGCCCGCTTCTCTATTGAAATGGCCCAGAGCACAGAGTTCCAGCTGGGGAGACACCTGTGGTGTTCAGGGGTCACTTCTAGCCTGGCAGCTGGCTGTGGTGCTGGGGAACAAACCTGGAGTTCACAAAGACAAGTATGTGCTCCGCCCGCCCAGTCCTCTCACTGTCCTTACTCTGGAACATTCTTTGGGATTTCAATCAAGATATACCAGACAGCACCACATGCCTCCAGCTGCAAGCTGTTCTAGGACAGCCGTAACCGGCCTTACATCTATCCATCACATGGAAGTTCATTTAAAGTTCATTTAAAGGCCTGCTGCATCCCGGTGTGAGGCTTCTAAAGCAGACGGCTTGGCTGAAAACTGAAAGCCAGGCACGACATTAGGAGGACACAGCCCCTCTGCTTGGCCCAGTGTCACAAGCTACCATCAGCGATGGGACCCCAGTGCTAAGACGCAGCTCTCTGAACTGTCACATTTAAATTCCCAAAGGTCTTTGAAGGGCAGTGATTTACTATCATATCTTCCCACAGTAATTTAGTATCGTATCTTTTAATGGCTCCAAAATAATTTTTAAAAAGATTTAAAATGGCCCTGAATCTCTGCCAAAAATGAAGAAATCAATAACCGAATATACACTGAATTTTATTGGTCTACTGAATATTCTCCCATTCAAAAATTTATTTTTTTTAATTATATAGGAACAAGAGGACCTAAGATCAAAATAAAAAATTTAATTAAAGAGGTAAGCTCATCAGGTTCTACTAAGTTCATTTAAATATCACCACATGAGGGGGAGGGGAAAGACATAAAGGAAGGCTCTGAAAACTCAGCTCTTTGTTCTAGACTTAGAAACCACAAAACCTGGGTCTGGAGGTAAGGCCTTGCACACAGCCTGGGTCCAATCCCCAACACCCCACCCCATTGGTCCCCCCAAGAGCCCCAAGGAGTGATCCCTGAGCAGAGTCAGGAATAAGCCCCAAGCAATGCCAGGCGTGGCCCAAAACAAAAACCGAAACCAGGAATAGCAAAACTGAAATTGGTCAGTAGTGATTCCACCAACTAGAAAACTTATTAACCTAAAAGAATAATGACAGGTGCTCTTAATCCTGAAATCCCTTTCCCCATGAAAACTGGTGTCTCTGACCACTTCCAAATCTCATAAGAGGAAAGGCTTCTGGGTTTAACTTTTCTACTGCTTGAGGTCAGTGAAGTAAGATAATGCAAGCAGTTCTGTTCCCTATAAAATCTTTTTAAAATTTAGAATCTTGAATAAATCTTAAATGAGCAAGTTCACACATCCATACATCCCAAAGATTATATATCTAAAACTCAACTATCAATAACTTTGTAAATCACAGTTCTTTAATTTTTTTTTCACTTAATTTTCACTTAATCCCCGTTATTCATCGATTTATTCGAGCGGGTGCCAGTAACGTCTCCATTCATCCCGGTTGCGTGCTAGCGTAGCCCAATGGTATCTGTTCGTTTTAGGAACATGTAGAGCCTCAAACCGATCATTTAGGGTCTTGACGAAGAAGTCTGACCATCTTATAGGTGGGCGTCCACGTGATCTTTTGATGTCTCGTGGAATCCAATCAGTAATGGCTCTAGTCCAGCGGTTGTCTGTAAACCTCATTACATGTCCAGCCCATCTGATTTTTGATGTCTTGGCAAATGAGACAGCGTCTCTGATTCTTGAGCGTTGACGAAGATCAGAACTCCGGATTCTATCTCTCATTTGAGTGAATCGTGATATTCCAAGCATAGTTCTTTCGATTCCTCTTTGAGAGACCCGAATAGTGTTCTCATCCTGTTTTCGTAGGGTCCAGGTCTCTGAGGCATATGTTAATGCAGGAAGAATAGTGGAATCAAAGAGATGTGCTCGTAGTTGGAGGTTCTTTGTCCTTTTAGTTATTTCTTCAATGCTCTTGAAGGCATTCCAAGCCGCTCTCTTCCTCCTGCGTAACTCAGGTGCCAGGTCATTCATCATGTTGATTTCTCGACCTAAGTATATATAACTGTTGCATTCGGAGATGGTGGTTCCGTTGAGAGCGAATGGAGCGTCAGGAACAAGGCTGTTTCTCATAAACATTGTCTTCGTAAGATTCAGCTGTAGTCCGACCTTTCCACACTCACGGTCAAAGTCCGCAAGCATTTGTGCCGCTTGGCTGATGTTTGGTGTTATTAGAACGATGTCATCAGCAAAGCGGAGGTGGTGTAGTTGCCGACCATCTATCTTCACTCCCATGTTTTCCCATTCTAGTCGTCGCATGATGTTCTCGAGGGTGGCACTGAAGAGTTTTGGTGAAATGGTATCACCCTGCCGAACCCCTCTCTTGATATGGATGATTACTTCTTTGTAGAATGGTGAGATCTTGGTAGTGAATCCGCAATAGAGCTCACGAAGGATCCTGATGTATTGAGTTTGTACGCCCTGATTGGCTAGGGCTTCCATGACCGCTTCCGTCTCAACAGAATCAAAGGCCTTCTTTAAATCAATGAACGTTAGACAGAGCGGCATCTTGAACTCCCGAGATACCTCAATGAGCTTGGTTATTGTGTGGATATGGTCGATGGTACTGAATCCTTTTCGGAATCCAGCTTGTTCACATGGTTGTCCTTCATCTAGTGTTCTGCTAATCCTATTTAGGATGACTCGAGTGAATAGTTTGTTCTTTAATAAAACTTAAAAATCACTTTATAAAAATCCAGACAGGATGAGAATGCTATTCAGGTCTCCCAAAGAAGAATAGAAAGAGCTATGCTTGGAATATCACGTTTCACTCAAATGAGAGAAAGAATCCGGAGTTCCAACCTCTGTCGACGATCAAGAATCAGGGACGCTGTCTCATTTGCCAAGGTGTCAAAACTCAGATGGGCTGGTCACGTAATGAGATTTAAAGACGACCGTTGGACCAGAGCTGTTACCGACTGGATTCCACGGGATGTCAAAAGACCACGTGGCTGCCCACCTACCAGATGGTCAGACTTCTTCGTCAAGATCATAAACGATCGGTTTGAGGCTCTTCATGTTCCCAGAGCGAACAGATGCCATTGGGCTACACTAGCACGCGACAGGGACAAATGGAGACGTTACTGGAGCCCGCTCGAGCAAATCGACGACTAACGGGAAGTTAAGTGATTAAGTGATAAGTGAAAGATCCAAAAAACTTGGATATTTTGCTGCAGAGAGTCAACTCTCACTACTGCTACCTGACAGCCTGTATTAGAGTCTTCTCTAGGGTTAGAGCAGGGTACACTGCTGGGTATGGCCAAAAGAAACAAACAAAAAAGTCTCATGGATGCTCCTTTTGGTGAATAAGGCTCAGGGTCCTGAGAGCCCAGAAAAGCTGGGACATCACACCACTTGTGCTCACTTTTTTTCTTTGAGGAGAGGCACGTCCAGCGGTGCTCAGGACTTACTCTTGGCTCTGCACTCAGGGATGCCTTCTGGGAGGCTCAGGAATCTATATGGGGTGCTTTGTGAGATCTTGGCCCATTCAGCCAGCTTGGTGGGGTCTTCTCTGTGTAGAAGCTTCTAGATGCACACAATGCCTTGCCTCAGAGACCCCATTATCCCAGTGTCCTTTGACTCCTGGCCCTCTCCAGGCTCACCCTGATAGCTCTGGGGATGACACCTTTCAGGTTCAGTCACTGATTTAATCTCGCATTTGTCCCCCCACATTCATGCAGTGACTGCTGACTCACCCCATGCATCCCAGCCTGTCCTGGCATCTGAGCGGGGTAAAAAGGCTCTTACCCAATGCAGACCCTCAGCCACACAGCCTGTGACTAAGGGAGCCTGTCTCCGGGTCGGCAAGCGGCCTCACCGTGCGGCCCAATTCCTACCCTCCCTCTCAGCCCAGCTCTCCTGAACTGCACCCCTGGTCCAACACCCAGAATGCTCACTTGTTCAGCCTCTTCCCAGGGGCATCACCAGAGCTCCTGCCTCTCGGGAACAACTCTCCATACCTCATGACCAGTCTAGGGACACCTCACAGGGCAGGACTCACGCCCCTGACCCCACAGACTTCCTAACCCCAGACTCGAGAGTGGCGTCTCATGCTCTTTGGCAGAGCCCTGTTTGTGGACACACTGGCGCGGAGGAAGACACTGCCTTTCTAAACCATCTCCTGTCGCACCCTGACTCTGTGAAGCTCATGCTGCAAAAGGCAAGACTGAGGCAAACAGCTGAGGCACCTGGTCCTCACCGACTGCTCAATCAAGTGACAAAATTTCGTTTGCAGAAAGCCAAGCAAGGGCCCCCCGCCTTCGGCGGAGTCTAGCAGGTGGGCTTCTCTGATCAGTGACAGGGAGCATGGCCTCCTCAGCCCAAAAGAGGAGAGTTTCACATGGAGTGAAATGTCTCTCCACAAGGACCTCGTGGGAAGCCACCTTCCCAGGAACACCAACTCACCTGGCCTCATGGGCGCTCTGCAGCCCTCTGTGTCCTGCAAGCAGCCGCCTGCCCGGAGTCCACCTCCCAGGCCATTGGCCTGGCCACCAGAGGCATTGAGGTGGGTGGGGACGGGCTCAAAGGTGGGGTCCAACTCCAAGATGAGTCTGTTGAGCTGCTCGATGGACTGGTCAATGTCCAGGGTGGGCGAGCCCAGAGAGGGGTCTGTACTCAGCTCCAGGCCGGTCCCGTTCACCAGCCCCATGTCGGAGAACCTGGGTTTGCAGGCCCTGCCTAGAGAGGGGCACTGTGTGTCCAGGGGCTGTGGCCCTAGCCCCAGGCCCCTGTGGACAGCCCCCCTCCCAGGCCCCCTGGCAGGTGTGACCAGAATGCTGGGCTGGGCCTGCAGCAGGCCCGAGCTGTCTGCTGAGCCCCGGCTGACAAGCCTGGCTTCTGACTCGGGGCCAAAGCCATACTGATGTGTGGCCACCATCTGCTGCTGGCGGACCCAGGTCTGTGTGGAGTAGCCACTCTGTCCAAAGGCCTGCGTCTGGGCAGACACAGATGGCTCCCTCAGCAGAGGCTGCAGTGGTCTGGGCTCTTGACCCCCAAGAGCCCGCTCCCGCTCATATGGGGGCCCCCCACTGAGGCCCAGGTCTGGGCCCAGGGGACCCTGTGGCTCTTCTCCAGGGCTGCCAAATCCATCCGAGAGCAGCGAGTTCTGGCTGGTCTTGTGGCAGGTGGAAGGGCCCAGGTGGGCCGAGGGGTGGCCCTCGGAGGAGGACAGAGTCCCGATGCTGTCCACACTGTGCAGGTCATGGCTGGGTACCTCGTCGTCCAGGATGTCCGTCTCCCGGTCCCTGGGCATGCCATCTCCGTTCACATGAACCTGGGCGGGTACAACGTGGCGTGTCCCGCTGTACTTGCTGTGAGCATCAGTCATATCCTTGACGTGGCTACCAGAATCTTCTAAGCCAAAGCCACTGAGGAGTTGGTCCAATTCAGCTTTCTCCTGGGGGCTCAGGCCCCTCTTGGGCCCCGGAGCAAGGCGCTCCTCAGTCCTGTCTGTCTTGGCTGAAGTGGTGGAGTGTCCAGAATCACTGCTGACCGACAGTGTGTGCTCCCCGTGGTCTGGGCTGCTGGTGGAAATGGCAGCTGGGGGCCCCCCCAACTCGGACGTGCTCTTCTTCCTCACCTTGGCGTAAAGACTGCCATCCACAGGGCCCTGTGTGTGCAGCACTGGGAGGGGAGAAACAAGAAAGAGACTCTAGGTCAGGTATGGGCAGGGTACAGGACCCTTCGAACAAGTAACGTTCATTTTTTTTAAGCAAACAATTCACAACAACCAAGCACTAGTAACTGGGGACAAACACTCCTCATGGACCCTCCCAGCGGACGTATGCCCCAGCAACAGGAACCAGAGTGGAAACAATCTGAATGTTCCAACATACTCGGGAGACAGAATCCTTTGGCCTCGAGATGCAGAAAAAATCATCTCCTTAAAACGGGATGTCTCGCCCTTGCAATCATTATGCCCTGAGGATTCAGTTCATTTCACCATTTGTTTCACTTCTGAGCTCTGCTCCAACATTCCCAAGAATTTCCCATGACGCTTGCGACAAGAGACAGCCCATACTCATCAGTCTACCTCAAGTCTCCTGAGTATCTCCTATGGAACCAAGGAACACAATCTTAGGCAACACAATACCTGTTTTTGAAGCCTGCCACCCTCTCACCATTCCCAAACCTAAAAGTGGAACTCAAGGAAAAGAGACTTCCAAGGCTTACATCTGGTCTGTTTTCAGTTTTGTTTGTTGGACCCAGTGTCAGAGAGCTCTGCACTCAAGGTTCACTCCTGGTGGGGTTCAAGGGAAAATGAACGGGGATGGAACCTAGTTCGGCTGCATACAAGGCAAGCACCTTCCCTGCTTCTCTCCCTGGCCCCTGGGGGTCTGTCCATTCAGCACAGAGTTTCTGTGAGTGCACAGCAGGCCCACAGGCCCAGAGAGCAGCTCTGCAGGCAAACCTGATCAATAGAACAGAAGGGTTCTTGCCTTGCATGTGACCGGCCCAAGTGCAATCCCCAGCACCCCATATGGTCCGCCAGCATGCCAGGAGTGGTCCCCGAGTACAGAGCAGGAATAAGTCCTGAGCACCGATGGGTGTAACCCAAAACAAAACCAAAAAAATGTGGGTGGGGAAAGCAAGCCTTGTTCCCATTATGACTCAGCCCAGGGTGTAGCATTTGTGGCATTCAGTTACTCCCAGCCCTCACACTGCTGGTGAGTAGAATGGCTACCAGGGTCCAGGCCTGAAACTGACCAACAGCAAAGGGAGTTCCCTGCTGGCCTTCAGTCGCTCCTCCCATATCATTTCTTCAGATCAAGTGTGATGTTGTAAGCACACAACACAGGAGGTGCTTCAAGGCCCTGGAGCTGCTGTACGCAGGTGGGCTGAGCAAAGGCCAATCTGTAAAGACCTGCCAGCACTCTGCTTTCTGTCTGTCACGCTAGAGGTGAGACTTGGTCAGCAGTTTCTGGACTGTTTGAATTACTAGGGCAATATGATAGGCATTTGGGGATACTATGCTGAGAGCATGAAACCAGCTCCCTCTTGCGAGACTGTGCCCCAGGAAAGAATGAAAGGGGGAGAACAGTAGACATGGGACAAGTCCAGCAGGGAACATCACCAACCGTGTCCTAAGAAGAGCTAGGGGAGGACCTGCGAGGGGGAACAGGGCACAACACGGAGTGTGACTGCTGAGATTCTAAGAGGCAGGGCTGAATCAAGCCTCAGGAATAACTCAAGGGACTGGCATGGATGACTACTAGAGTTTAATGAGCACCTATTAGAAGACAAGTACATTTTTGTTCTCATTTTCTCTCATTTCCCTCCCTATTTTTACAGTCTAGTCCACCTAGTCAACTAGCCATTATTACTCCTGTTTCATCGAAGCAGGGCTGGAGTGATAGCACAGCGGTACGGCGTTTGCCTTGCACGCAGCCAACATGGCCAACCCGAGTTCGATTCCTCCGCCCCTCTCGGAGAGCCCGGCAGGCTACCGAGAGTATCTCGCCTGCACGGCAGAGCCTGGCAAGCTCCCTGTGATGTATTCAATATGCCAAACACAGTAACAACAAAATCTCCAATGGAGACGTTACTGGGCCCGCTCGAGCAAATCGATGAACAACGGGAGGGCCTTTACCTTTTCCCTTTACCATCAAAGAAGGAAGGAAGAAGATGAATGAATTGAAATCCACTAATTAACGGGAAACGGAATTAATGGGGAACAGGAGTAGAGTATACCGTGTGCATGGGGGAGGGTGGGGCACGGTGGAATATCTATATATTACCACAGACTCAATGACACTGAAAACATGAGATCCAAACTACAATCAGCAAACTTTACAACATACCTATCAAGGTGGATAGTGAGTGGGTATGGGAGGGAACACGGAAACACCGTGGAGAAAAGCTGATACTGGCAGTGGGATTGGTATAGAACATCATATGCCTAAAGCTCAACTATCAATAACTTTGTCAATCGTGGTTCTTTACATTTAAAAAAAACTAGGAAAATAAATGTAACTATTTGAGAAAGCAGCTGAATAATAGAAAAATAACAGCATGACAGAAGAATCAAAGGTCCCAAATTCAGCAGAGATGCAACCAGAACCCAGTCCACATGGCTTCCAGTCCAAGGCACTTCACTTTCAGGGAGACGCAGGAGGGCACACACCAACAGCTCCATCCACAGGCAACCAGTCGCCACTCGCCAAAGTGACCCTGGGCTGGGTTGCAGGACATGCCAGTTCAGCCGCACCAAACTCTACCAATTCAGTAAGAGGAGACCCACAACCACCAAGCACGCATCATGTCATCGATAAGGGTTGAAGAGCCATGAAGGAGTTAAGGAACTTGCCTTGCATGTGGTCTACTCTAGCTTGATCTCTGGCACTGCATCTCAGAGCACTGCCAGGGTCTCTGAGCAGAGAGCCATGAGTAAGCCATGAGCACTGGCTGGGTGTGACCCAAACACACCCCTAAATGTCATCTCTACAATTCTGCAAGTATAAGATGTACCCCAGATCATGCTTACAAATGATGGAACATTTTTAGGCTCTGATGGATTCATGTCCACTGGGGAGTCAGAGCTCAGATCAGATACCAGTTCCTGGGCAAGGGTTTATGCCAAATCACCCTTGGGGCCACCAAACCACATGGTTTGGTGCTCAATCTTAATATCACTTCCCAGTGAAACCCTCATTTGGTATGTCCTTGTTTGAATTTATGAATATTGGTATTTATATTGAGGTGAGTCAATTATATGAGATTATCTAGATGAGAATCCTATCAGAGAGAAATAGTACGTTTGAAAAAGAAAAAAAAATAACCACAACACAGACAATCAGCTTTAGAGACACTGAGGAAACACCAGCAGAGATGCAACCATGAGAAACACACTGAGGAACATACCAGCTTATTTTTGCTTCTACTAGAGTTCCTTCAGGATAATCTAACTAATGCAAGCCCTGAGAAATGAGGGCTTCCACTTCAATTCTGCAGAGCATGACAAGGACAGTGATGTCCTCTGCTTCACAGGAGACACAGACCCCACTACACAGAGGACGCATGTGGTCAGTGGAATCAGTGCTGCATCCTGGGTGAGCAGCAGTGGGTGGAGATGGGGGGTGGAGGCAGACCACTGTCCAAGAATCCTAGAAACAGATTTCATGCTAGGAAGATTGTGTACCTGATTTTCACATCTTTTTCTCTAAATGTGATTTAAAAGAATTGGCCTAATGACTTCAAAAACAACTGTCAAGAACAAGCTGCACAAACATTCACCACCCAAATGTTCATCGTCTCCAGGGAACACGATCCTTTCATCAAGGTGAACTGACTCTTGTAGGCAATGAAGGGGCCACTTACTATTTTCATGAGCAGACATTCGAAAAGGACAGGCATTTTTAAGCACACACAGAATGGGCATCGGAAGCATGGCTGGAGCTGTCCTCAGAGCACTCACCCAGGGAGCCCGTGCGAGGGACACAGCCCAACAGCCACGATCATCCTCCTGGCATCACGCACCCAGAAGCCGGCAAATGCTTTTTGCTGTTGCTCAGAGAGGACCACATTCGGCAGTGTTCCTGGGACTCCTGTGCTGCCTGAAGTTCCATTCCTGTCCCTCCCCAATTAATAATTTACACACAGAAAAAGAATAACAACCAAGACTGCAAAGTCCTGAATACATCCCTTGCAAGTTTCTGAATTACTTAGAAAGAAAGTCTTTCTAAAAGCCTGGGAACTCTGGACAGACATCCAGGGTCTTCCCTGTGGTTCCATCATTGATGGCCTGGTAGTGAAGAAAGGGCTGACACAGGTTCTCTGGAATCCCCAGATTGTACTTTGGTAAGAGGACTCCACTTGCAAGACAAAACCCACTGCCCACTTCAGTGAGTGAAAGTGAGGACTGCTTCCAGAGACTGAGATGAGGCCTCCTTCCTGCATCCTTCCTTCTTCCTCCTTCCTTGTTACTTGGTCCCATATGGACTGCAAAACCCGAGTCACTGATGGGATAGAATCGTTCTTCCCACTCAGAGTGGCCACAGGATTCACGGAACTCACAGCAAGTATCCGAGTGATGGGAGACAAGATTACTCTAACAGCTCTTTCCACAAGGACAGCGACGGGCCTCCTATGCAGCCTCACTTCCTCCCTGCCCACCAGCTGCTTCCTGGGCCTCTGCCAGTCTCAGTGTCTGGTGCTCCTCCTTTCAAGTGAAAATTCTGAATTCCACCTATCCATCGACATCCCCAGCTGAGATCATGTTCACTCCCAGCAGAATTCTCAGTAGGACCCCTATGGCCCCTAGATCCTTTCAGGCTCACTGCGCTGAGCACTCCCCACAGCGTGCTCGGTGGCCCGCCTGGAGAGAAGCGGGGCAGGGATGGTGGTGCAGCAGGCACAGGTAGCAAATGTTGGGTGGGGTGGGTGGGCCACGGAGCAGAAGGGTGGCAGAGACTGCAAGAAAGAGCAGCCACCCTGTTGTCCCTCATCAAGAAAGAGGGAGTAGAGGAAGAGGCCTCCCGTCTATGGACAGCTTCAAGTTTATGGCCCAAAAGGCCCAGGGTTGGATCTCATTTGACTTTCAGAATAATCCGATCACGATCGATCAGATCATGATCATCCTGTTGTTCGTCGATTGCCTCGAGCAGGCCCCAGTAACGTCTCCTTCG